TCCCTCTGGTTGCACCCAAACACTGCATATTAAGGCTTCAGATTAATTGACGAACCCCACGGCATGCATGCACATGTAAAAACAGCCCAACACATGCAAGCCTTACTCCAGAAACTCAGTGATGTATTTCCTACTGCATTTTGACCACATCCAGGGATTGGTGTAGAAGTTCAGTGTTGGAGCCATGACGTGCTGTTGATTTTTACCTCCATCTTCTTTGCACTTATGATTGTCATCGTGCGGCATGTTAAATCTAAGAGAAAAACAGCAGTGAAACGTAGAGTCACTTAAGTGGCAAACGTCAAGTATTTAGTACAGCAAGAGCTACAGTGCGAACTAAATGCAAGCAGACCCAAGAATTTTTCCTAGACAAGCTACTGGCAGATATTACAGAATAAAAATATTAATACACACAAGTGTCAACAAGCATTGGTCAAATGGGATTCCTAGGACTTGTCTGCAAAAAACTATGCAGCTCTCCACACCACGATTGCCCATAATTATTTAGCCAGACAAGTCTTCAAGGACACCTGGAGTAAGATCCAGTCTCAGCTGCAATTCCCTCTCCAGCTGACCCTGCAGGCAGGCTGGAGTTTGCCCTCACCTTCAGAAAACTGACAAGTTCTTCAGAATTGAGCCAGAGAGACAAAGAGTTGATCCGAGGGGATGCATTTCTGAAGGTGACAAAAAACTTGAGCCTGCCTGACGCCCCGCATGCACACAGACAGCACCCAGTGCTGGCTGCAGAACGTTTTCTAGTGCAGCTGAGTATCTTGGGCCACACTGATCCCTCAATGCTGTTGCCTAAACAGGGTTGCACCAGAGATAGACTTGGTCCCTACACTTTGTGTGGCAGGTTTATAAAATGCCATCAAGCATCACTATCAGCAGAAACCCACACGAAGTTTGCAGCACGTGACGTATTCAAGAATGTGGCAAATACACTAACGGAGACAGAACGGCTTAAAGCACTTTGCTCTTTGATGTGGGGAAGGGGAAATGACCCGGTGTGATCCTGCGTTGGGGAGGCTGGAGAGTTTATATCCCATTAGGATTACTTCCAAGGAACCACCTTTTCATTCTGCTCACTGTAAAAGAGCAAAGGGGCATTCCCCACTCGGGATCGCCGCTAACCCCTCCAGGAAGGAATTAGCCACAGGGTAGGTGTGGGGAATGTCAAGCCATTGAGGACTTTCTCTCAGGAAACCTCACTTAAATAAATACTACTGTGGTTAAAAATAGACCATCTCAGCCAGCTCTCCATGAAAAAAAGGGGGTTTAAAACAATGAGAGATCTGTTCTCGAGTACTTATGCATCCCACACCTATAGATCTCCACTGCAAACCAGGCATGAGGCGGCTGGGGATTGAACAAACCTGCCTAAGAGTTGTAGCTGGGAGGTAAAGGACTATGCGATCTAAGATGATTTTTCTCACAGCTGCTCTCAAAAAAAGTCAAAACGAGTTAAAAGAAAATTTCCACTGGAGGAGGTGCATCTTAAATAACAGCAGCTCTTCCAGGGATGTCCAGCAGCATGAGATTTTCCCTTGTGAAATAGTTCAGGCTCATTTACACGGCCCAATCACCTGCCGCATACATGCCCTGGTGCAGTCCTGCTGCCCTTCACACACAGCTGCTGTGCTGCATTCCGTGGTACCATGCACAGCACTGGGATAAGTCATGACAGGCTGAGGACCTGCTCGTGGAAAAGACTTCAGATGCGATGGCCAGGTGAGACGTGCCCCTGGCACTGCTTCCCCCTAAGGCACCTCCCAGCTCCAGCCAAAATCCTGGCTTAGCCAGCATGGACACCATAGCTACTGGGGCAGATTCTGCCATCGCAGGTAGATGTGAGCGGATGCGGTAATACAGGACATTTTCTTAGCTCTCTTCCCTTGCTTAGGTGCTGCTTGGAGTGCTCTGTCACTCATCCTCCCCAAAATATGGATCTGCTGGTTTTGCTGCTCTCAGATAGGCTCCAGAGTGCTTCACCACCTCCCAGCGTCACACTACAGCTTAATCTTCCTCGGTGGTGCATCTTCTACATTTATCTCCTCTCAAATAATTAGGCTTAGCAGGTACCAAGTCCTAACCTGGATAGCAAGCCCTAGCTAGCATAAATCTTGGGCTATTTAAATGTAAATGTATTTACATAAAACATACACATGGCCAAGCTCATGTGCTATTGTGAAAGCAGTGCTCAGTCCGTTATCTTCACTAATTGAACAGCTCCTGTATGGGTCACAGACTGTGCCCAGCTCTGCCAGACCTAGGAGAGAACAAAGAGGTTTATCAGAGAAAAAAGAAGTTGTCCATGGTTCAGCACAGGCAACTAACATTGTCACGACAAAAGAAGTTATTAAAAGACAAAGAAAAGGTTTTCCTTACCCAGAGTATCACATTTGTCGTGCGCTCTGCAAATATCCTGTCTGAAAGCAGAACAGACCTGACACATTAATTTACAATGCAGCAGTGAGTTAAGGTACAAGCAGAGCAATATCAGCATCCAAAAGCAATTCTTGGTCCTCCCGTGGACCTCCTTATGCTGGTTTGCCACATCATTCAGCAGACTCCAAACCCACTCCCTACCACCCCCAGAGAACTTCATCACATGCTGAGCCCATGAGGAGACCTTGGACAGCCCTGAACCTCTCAGAATCATCTACTGCTATGGTGGACACTCTGGCCCAATTCTGCTCACAGTTACATTGGTCCCATAATTGCAAAATTCATTATACCAACATAAAAACTCCAAACATCTCCCTTAGCTTGATATATTACATGTTCACAGTGTCCGACACATGACTAGCTACAGTTTTCATGAGAATATTCACCATACCTGGTAACAAGCACGGCTGTATCATGTTGAAGGTGACTTCCTTCAGGGTGGTTCTGGGATTGCTGCCATTGGCAAAAATTTTTTAATGTTGTCTGGGCATTGTAAGATATTGTAGGACCATCCTAATTAGCAACACATAGAAAGCATATTTTAATTATTTTATTTTAATTATTCATCACAAATACCATTGTCAAACAGAAGGTGAAAAAATATCACTTCCGTTACCTGTTCATTATGTATCACAACCAATTTCACAATAACAATATTAATTAAATTTCCAATGCTTGGGTCTTTGTAGATAGAAGCCACCTGTTTAAAAAAAGAGAAATATTCAGATTATTGCTAACATTCAAGGAATGAACAATTAAGACACACATGTGTGTCTTCTGCTTTACAATTGTTATTCTCCTGAGCTGCCCTTCTGCCTCAGTTCTCTGGTGCTACTTGGGGAGACCTCTTGCCAGAAGCACAATTTTAGAATGGAACAGACCCCCTAGTATCACAGATACCCACCAGTTTCTTCTGCTTTAGCACATATTTCAACCAATTACAGGGTCATTCTGCTGTGACCACCAACCAAGATGGTCAAAAGCAACTTATTCTCTCAAGCACCTCATTTTGCTGTGGAGAGTTTTAGATCACTTATTCACTGCACTTCTACCCTCTAAAAGGATGAAAATCCCTCCAGTGACACAACTGTGCTGGATGCTCACTTCCAGTCACTCCGCATCTACAGAGCTGCCTCTCTGGAGATTGCACTATTGCATCCTCGTACAGCAGCTACTACAATGCTCGTCCTCAGCCTGGAAAGCCAACCCTAGCACGATGCTAAGGATGAAGACGAGCACAAACTCCTTCTCTTTGCAACAGCAAGGGAGGTCAGGCAACTGCATAAGCTACTAGCATCAGTCCCTTGGAAGGCACAGTCTCCGAAGCAGCTTTTTAATTCAGCTGCTGTTTCACATGGGAAGAGTACAGCACGTGGACTAAAGGGCCAGTGACATTTCTTGTGCTGCCTGGGGTTTAGAAAGCTGGAAGAGAGGCGTGGGAAGGGTAAGGCAAAGCGATAGCTCTGGGAAGGAAGAAGACTCCAAGCAGTGTTCCCCAGCCAAGTTTTACCACACTGTGCTCCGACCCCAGCATTATCTCCATGCCTGGCTGAGGCAAACTGATGATACTGCACATGACCACAGTAGAAAGAGCGCTCTCTGACCGCTGGAAAATGACCTGTGGGCGAATCTACACTCCCTAGTTGGATACTCACTATTGACATTAACGTCAAGACATAGTGCTGCAGATTCGCCCCGTGGTAGGCGACCATCCTGCTGTCAGCCACCACCATCACTTCCACGAACCGAGGGTAGGAGAGAAACCGCTTGGTTCGTTTGTGGCTCTTCTTTTCACCGACGTTCCCAGTCTTGTTGCCATCCGCAGAAAACGAATTCACTTCCAGGCTGCGTTTCAACATTTCCATGTCAGATAATATGCTGCCTTCTGCCCACTGTCTTCTCCAGTGTTTCCGCTTGTTCTTTTTGTGACTGTGTTCGTGATCTACGATTAAAAAGCAGACAAAACCATAAAGCACATTTGAGAGTGAATCAATACCACACGTAGGTTACATCAAAACACCTATTTAAACTGATGAAGAGTGAGCAGGCTCGTTGCAAACGGCTAACCAAAACAGAAGCGTTCTGTGGAAGCCCACCACGTAATCCAACATCTAAGGCTTTTCTTAAAGTGATCTTACAGAAGCCACTGGCACTTAAAGGCAGGCATTCAGGTAAAAGCGTCCCTGCCGCAGAGCCGTGCCTTGCCCGTGCAGGAGGGACAGAGCCCCGTGATGGTAATTAGCCACCGCAGCGGCAGCGTGAGGATTCTGGGCACGTCCAAGGTGGCCAGGAAACCACAGGAAACAAAGGTCCAAAATCCTGTATTTCTAACTCAGGCATGAAGGACGGCAGGATTTGGCCTTCATAGCGAAGCAATTATATATGATTTATTTCTGTCTCTAACAATAACACGGCTGGGCTTCAGTTCCCCCCCTCCCTTTATTATTCTGTGCTACGGGAATGGTAGAGGTCATCTAACAGCACAGCTGCCAGTGGCTAAAGAATAGAATTCAGGAAGTTTCACATATACTGCTTTTGATATTCAATTAGGCCAAACATAAAAGCAGCCTGAAAATATACTCCAAGCTGATACAAAGACGACAAAGCGAAGAGGGAGAACAGGCAAATAAAACATATGGAACGTGTACAATTAAGATTCACCATCTGATTAGTATGTAATTATAGCATTATTTAAATGTAAGAGCAAAATCAGTCTTATTTGATGCCACTTAATTTTTAATCAGTTCATCATAGGAAGTAGCTAATTGAATGTGATTCATCCATGAGAGACTGCTCGTTTCTGCATTTAATATAAAGCCAGATCTGAACTACTCATCTAAGACTCGAGGCTACAACCCTCATGCTCTTTGTAGCTTTAGTTTAATTCCGTCATGGTGGTGAAAAATATCACATTTCCTTATCTGACCCACTGAGTAGGTTAGAGGAAGCATAATATTAGGGAACAAAGGAATATTCAACGCTCAAACAAGATTGAAATGATAGGAAGCTTCTTAGGTATTTTTCCCGCGGAGTTTCCTTTTAGGATATTTTGTAATAATTTCCAGAAAAAGAAATATAAATAAAATATACTTTAATAAGCAGGCACGCAAAGAGGGTCGGTCAGCTTCTACCTATCTGAAACACAGCATTCTTTTGCCCTACGTATAAATGGGCAATAGAGTGTTTAAGAATTAAATCCCGTTTACTCTGCACTACCTAAATCCTACAAATTCCTCTTTCTCAATATAGTCCAGACCACCTTAATACAGCAGAGAGTCCACAGTTATTTGAGTAAGAATTTGAGAAAGCCAATGGCATTTGTGGTTATAATTGGATTGCCCTAGTTCCTCTGCACTAATCAATGCCCTTGTGTTGGCGAGGTTGTGCTCTCATGCTGGCACTGCTTCGTGGGCAACCGTGACATTATCCTGACTCATTCTGTGCCAATCAGCGTGGGAAGCCAACTATGCACACAAATAACTTAAAGGTAAGAAGACCAAAGCGAGGAGAAAGCACTCACCTCAGCCCTTCAGCCAGTTCCCCTCCTCTCTGAAAGTTTCCCTTTCAAATACCCAACTTTCAAAAGAAGCAGGTCCTCAGGGAAAAACACGTTAAGGATGTGTTAAGGATGAGGAGATGCTCAAAGGAGCTCCAGTGGGACTGAAGGCAAAGCTGCAGAGGGAAGGCAGAGCAGCTCTGCAGAGCCCCAAAGAGACCATGGGGCTCAGGTGTCTTCTCTGACCAGTCTGGCAGGTGGCAAAAGAGGAGGGAGACACAAAGGATTCTTTGAAGAGACACCTGTTATGCAGGAGGTGTGTAAAAGCAATTATTTGATATTCACCGGGCTCGTACTGAAATCCTGCAGCCAGCATCGCATGGTCAAAAAAACACAACACCCCAAAACCAGAGAGCTCCACATGAAATGCTAGGCCTGGTTTCAAGAAATGCTAGGTCTGGTTTCAAGAGCCCTGACTCACCACACAGGAGAAGGAGAGACCAACACAGCCAGGCATGCCCAGCACAGAGTAAAATCTACCTTCCTTTCTGTTGCAGAGATCTGGCACGGTATCAGAGTATCCCAGGGTCATTTAGGTTGGGAAAGACTTTTCAGATCACGGAGGCCAACTGTTAACATTGCCAAGCATCAGTACAGAATCAGCGTATTCCCTCCAGTCCAGCACACAAATCAAGTCAGCGACATCATCCCTACAAAACTCAACATCTTTTTTTCCCCAGGTATGAACTCACTCCACCGTTTACAGCACGCTATTTGGGCAACTCACACACAGCGCGTTTGCCAGCCTAGTTACTGTAAAACCAAGCAGAAGCGAGTGGAGATGCCTTGCACATAAAGCCACTCCTGGACTTTGAAAGTGGTGAACTGTTATCTTCACCCATCTCTCTCACATGTAACTACACTCAGGGACGGTGCACATTCACCTGTAAAAAATTAAACGCTGGTGGCAGGTCACTGCTCACAACCCACCCATAACCCTTCCCCCTCAGCGCTAATGGGAGCAGGCACTGCCAGCACTCCGTGTGCCTGATGCTGCTGATATCTCGCTCCGTTACGATGGCCACGACAGAAATGGCCTGACTGAATCACGTGGTGTGCTGCCATTAATCCAGCCAGAGAGAAAAATATCTCAGGTTACACAAGAAAACTGCAATTTTACAGCAACAGCTTCCTACTGCCATACACAACACCAAAAAAGGGTGTGATATTTTTCCACCTGGCTTTGCCTTTTTTTTTTTCCCCTCTTCTTCTCTTGTGTTAATATACTAAGAGAAATCAGGAAGGAAAACTGTTTGCTTGGCAAGTTCTCAATCTCTGCAAATGACCTGAAAAACATCTACCTACACATGGCAGCAACTGGATGGGCTTAAACAACAAAAAACTTACTTTAATTTGCAGAAAAAAAACAAATCCTAATGAGTGGACAAGCACTTTAAAACCACACAAACTACACACCAATAATTGAGCTAATAGGCGAGCCTATGCACTGTTTCAACAGTTAATATTCATTTAAGAGGTGGCTAAAAGGTTGCTGGAATCAGGTCCGTTTTACTGCTTGCTTTACTGAGACAATCCATGGTATTTGTCGTGTCTTTAGACAGATTTGGAGGTGGTTTTCCCTACTTGATTTCTTCCTCATTATGTTTGTTACACGACTTTGTTATAGAACTTAAAAAAACCCTCCCGATCCTGTGACAGGGATATTCCTTCCTGATGGCATCTGCCCACCCGTGCCATTTATTTTTGCTCGCACGGGAAGTCTCAGGTCAGAGCCCATTGAGCTGATTTATGATGATTACTGCT